TTTGCTTTCAGCCTGGCTTCTCTGATTTAATTGTTCTGACTCTATTAACTTCCAATATTTTACTGACTCAGTATCAGACGTCAATAATTAAATATAAACAAATATCTCGTAATCTTTTGCAGCAAGGCGTGACTCAGCTGATTTCACTCATTTACTACAAATTCTTCTGTACAGCCTTGGTAGTGAAYGATGCATATTTGGTGTTGACTTTTATACACAAAAAATTATTAAATCAAAAGAAATAAAAATCTGACAGCTATATGTTATCACTGTGGTTATTTTTGCCTTTCACAAAAAAATGAGCTTTGTGAYTCAAACATCTTGTGTTAAATAACGTGATGCTGATTTCAAGCCGTGATCTTCTCATTTTAAAACTGTTGGTGTTCATCAGCTCAAGAACAATTTACTTTGTATTAGACTGTTTCTGAGGGATCGACGTTTTCTATTTCTCTCTTATAAGTTTTTAACACAACACAACACACTTTTATGAAGCACTTAAAACAACACAAGGCTAACCAAAGTGCTGCACAATAAAATTAATAATAAAAATATAATAATATATAAAGTATATAATGATAAATTTCTTAATTAATAATTATTAATGATTAAAACTGACAATAGTGCTCTGTAATCAATTTTAAGTCCAAATAGGACCTTTTTGTGCTTCTATTGAAAATCTGAAAYAAACTTCCAGAAAACTGTAAAACAGCTGAAACAGCGAGATTCAAGACTAAAAACCCACCTGATAAGAACTGCCTTRAGTGGAACATTGATCAACATATTTGATGTGTATTTGCTTGATGATTTTGATGATGGCTTTTGATAAAATGTAATGTTTATTGTTTGTTTCATAATTGTTAACTGTATTATGTTTTTATGACGTAAAGCACCTTGAACTGGCTTGTTTCTGAAACCTGCTATACAAATAAACTTGATTTCATCCTAAAAAGAGTGGGAGAACTGTTCTGTGGAAATGTATACAATGATGCGTTGTTCATCCTGCATGTGACACAACTAAATTACAGGATGCTGTATAACGGGATGGTTCGGTCAGGACTGTCTGATGTATGATGTGACAATGATATCTCTGAAGGAATTACGTCATCTGTAGACGCTTCAAACGCTAAGACATGACTAAACATGCAGATSTTTGAACCCTAACCCACCAGACACGGAAGTGAATAAAAACAGAAACAAACTATGAAAACAAACCAGGCAAACAGCTGGGTTATAAAACWATTTGTCGCAGAGAGATAAGATAAAGATCAGCCTATCTCATACATGTACTGATGATGGAGAAGAGAGAAACAAGCTTCCACCGTGTTTGGCCAACAGGAAAGACTGCACATGTGCTTTTCTAGTTGTTGCTCCTGTTTAGCCTCTTTGAGCTCCCTCCATTACCCACTGATGGTGGCTTTGACTCATATGCAGCCTGTTTTAGACCTTTTGTCATTCTGATAAGAACTCTGAAGAAGTGATGAAGGAGTATGACGGAGAAATGTGAATGCAAACTGACACATAGAGCTCAAATAAAATACATCTTAATTTTATTGTAAACAAAAACAGAAGCCTGATGTGGCAGCAACATACTTGTGGAACTGTTGATAAGGCAAAAAGAGAGCTGGACATGGCCTAAAATTCAACAATGCTCAACTGTTGACGTAGGGCAAGCTGAAGGCTGGGACTAAAGGGCCCAGCATGCTCCATCCGAAGCCGAACAGTCGGCCTGATCATCAGTTATGGTAGCAGAGTAGATACAGTTATTGACTTCGGAGCTCTTTCAGCATAAACAGACTCGCCCACAAAACTTCGCACAATAACATTGAATGTGTGTAGTTGTGTGTGGTCGTGCCCTTGTTTTTGCTACTTGATGGGGATGATTTTTCAGGAAAATGCAGCCTCGTGGGGACCGGATGCTCCTTGTGGGGACCAAAGCCTGGTCCCCACGACTTTGGAGGCTTATTTTGGGTGGGGGGTTGGTTTCGGACCAAGGTGTGAAGCGCGCGCCATGATGCAGTTTATTTGGCATCTAAAATACATTTCCTGAGTCATGGGTGTTTTGAATCTGAAAAGAGCTTAACTGAGTGAGAAGTAGTCTAAAGGGCAGCAGACAGTTTAAGTTTCACTTTCACTTTCACTGTTACTGCCGAGAGCAAGTAGGGGTCTCTGCGGACGAGTGCGGACGAGTGGGCGTGTCACAAGGGAAGGCGATTCTAAAGCGACACACCTGATTTGACGGACTTTGTTAAAGGGACACAGCTGACTGGACAAGCAAAAAAGGGGTGATATTGTACGGCACCACCT